TATATATATATATATATATATATATATATATATATATATATATATATATATATATATATATATATATATATATATATATATAAGTGTGTGTATATGTATATAAAAAAACTGTTAACACATTAAACACACACAGGGGTAAACAGACATCGGACTGCGGAATCTAAAGAGGGTACTCTCTAAAGTACAATCAGTGTATTCCTCGTTGTAACGTTGTACTTGTAACTGTCTCACTCAGTTATAGGTATAGCAACGCAATCGGTAAAACCTTGCTGAAAGAATCAGTCGATAGCAACTGCTACCATTATCGATGCAGTTTGCAAATGCAAACAATACCGTTGCACGCAAATTGCACGAAAGCCGTTGATTCTATCGCAACACCAGAAAGAAGTTTGGTTGGATTAATCAAATTTCCGATGCACGAATTGGAAATTCCAGTTGAAGTTGTCCGAATTCTATTCCAGTTGACAAGAGTTCGAACTTGAAGAAGTTAACAGAATTCTGTTAACTTCAACCGGAATCTCCGGCTCGTTTATACTTCACCAGGAAGAGAGCGGCTAAGTTCTTATAAGCATATTTTGTGGCACTCGAAATCTTAAGTTATTTTTTGATGAAATTGTAGCTACTCAGATCATAAGTAGATTAAGGGTACGTAAGTATCAAAATAATGCGTCTTACCATTTGGAAGAAAATGACTCAAAAAGATACGTATAAATGGGTATAAATAAAGTATAAGCAAAAAAGTATAAGCAAAAGTATAAGCAAAAAAGTATTTGCTTATACCTATGGTATAAGCAAATAAATAAACGAGTATCGTTAGGACCCTTGACGAAACGTACAGGAAATATTGCAAGAAATGGGAAAAAGAAAGAAAGAGAGAGAGATGAAAGTATTTATCAATAAAATAATACATATTATAAATACTAATAATAACTTAAGTTTTCGAATGCCGTAAAATAGGGCCAAACTTCTTTCCTAATCCAATCAAAGGTTTTTTTCTCATGCACGAACGCAAAAAGTTGGGCTTCGTGCAGCGTACAATGAATTCATATACTACAAATTTGGAAATCCAACTAATTAGAATTCTGATTAATTAGTTGAAATCAATGTGTCATGATTAGTGATTAATCAGTGAGAAACACATGGAGCAGTAAAGTGGGAGTATCTTCACTGAAAATCGATGACAATTCTCCTCTGACTGATTCGATCAGAAACATTTGTACTGATTCACTCGAAGAGAGTAGTGGGTACGAGGATCCTTATATTCGGGAGGGTGGAAAGTGTACCATTCTACTCGTGAGACGTGAGGGATGGACGAGGGTGACGGTGGGTTGGTGTTCTAAAACATCGGGTAAAATTTGTGGGGAAAAACGAATGGGCCTTGATCCTTGACGAGATCTTGAGGATCCGCAATTATCGAAATGGGGCGCGTCGCGAGGTGCGTCATCGAGGAGCGCGCGGGTCGGTCGATCGCTCGGTCAGTCAATCGCTGGCGCCAGCTTTCTCTTTCAATTATTCAAAGATTGCCGTCAAGTAACCATAGGCAATGTTCTCCAATTTCTTGCTAGTCGATTTCCCAATTAATTTTGTTGTAAAACCAAAGACAATCACGAGTGGATTACAAATATATAAGTCTCAAAATGTAGCCTCTTATCGTTCCCAAGAACCAAGATAATCAATGAATTGTCTTGGTCCGGCAGAATGTGATATTGATTACGTCAAACTCACGTTTTGCTCCTTTTTCCACCAGGCACTTCAACGAGACTTTTCATTTCCTCTCGAAACAATTGTTTGAACTTGCGAGGTTCGCACACGGAGAAAATATTGTGGTAAAAATTATAGTGCAATTTTAGTAGCCCGGGAATAGGCTGGCACTATTACGAAAATTATAATAAAACACAGTAAAAATGACCATAACCATAACATACGATAAGTCTTACTATATTTATGATCATTTTTACTATGTTTTATTATAATTTTCGTAATAGTGCCAACCTATTCCCGGACTACTAAAATTGCATTGTAATTTTTGCTACAATATTTTTCTCCATGTACAACCGTCCGTTTTGTTATTTTATATTATGTGCATCTGATATTTGCTACTGCCACAATTTTGTCGTTTCCAACGAGAACTAGAGCGATACGACTCTTGATGTAAATGATATTTTGAATAAAGACATTCTGCTTTGCATAAAGATATTCTGCATAATTAATTGCATTCTTTAGTTCTCTTTTTTGCTGGCTATCGGACTTGAAACTTTTGGAGCCCATTTTCTTGGGAATAAAAGAGTATATTTTGAAGCTTATATATTTATAATCTACTCGTGATTATTTTTCGTTCTGCAACAAAATTAATTGGGAAATCGAATACGAAGAAACCGGGGAGTATCTTTTGGCCGCACTCTTACGAACTGCGACGCGAGAGCGCGCTTTTTATCGTCGATGTCTTGTTTTCTCAGGTTGCTTTCTTTCCTCGCTCCCCCCATCCCGGGTCGACTTAAATCACGCTCTACGCGACACACTTATTCCTATCTGAGGAGAAGGGGGAGAAGAGAGCGGCTTTCCTCCCCGGCGCGTGCGCGCGCGATCGATAAGTTACTTAAGAATTTCATTTAAAGTATCACGCACTAGTTGCACACGCAAGCACCCCGCCGTCGCACGTCGCCAAGGCGTCCGTGACGTAGGCGGGACGTTTTTATTATCATCGTCGTGCGCACAAGGATAATTGAGACAAGTAAAGAATGCAGGACGCGTCTGAGAGAAGCGTTTTTAATACGAAATCCCCGAGACTAGCCGCGTTTTGCATTTCTCTTGCAAATCAAGCGCAATTTTCTCGACCAGTCCCCTTGCCCGTCGTCGCCGAGGATGATGACGACGACGGCGCATGGGTCGACTCGCGCGCTCCAGGAGGACGATTTTCGCCCGAAAGGAATAAACCGCTTGACCGCTAAACGACCCAAATTTCAAACAGCAAATTCCCTCGCGTCAGGACTCCCGCACACAAATTTCCGTAACCGTAGACGTGAGACGTAAACTTAAGCTGAAGAACCAATTAAGATATTGTTTTTTCTTTGTATACTTTGGAAGAAGATAGAACTGACGGTAAAACTGATTGTTATGCAGAAGTAACTAGAGCTAACCGGTTGAAATTCTAGTTATTCAGTCTAAAAGTTCTAGTTACACCATTATTATTTCTTCCAAAGATAAAGCATTATCCTAATTGCTTCTGTAGCTTAAGTTTATGTCTTACGGTTATGTCTTACGGAAATTTGCCTGCGGGAAGACCTTTAGAGTCTGAACACAGAAATATTTAAGCAGTAAGAGTAGTAAGCAGAGTAATATACGCAAATTTTTGAATATTGACCGATCACATTCGATGATTCTTCTTACAGTGCAAGAATCAGCGACAGTAACTGATCAATTTGCTTACTGCTTACGTTTTTCAGTGTGTCATGGCCCTTATTTCCGAACACGAGAGACGTATTCTCGTCGCGGAGAGCGAGAGTACTTCGGCTTCAAAAAATCGGTCGCGAATGTTGATTTTGCGGCAGGAACGACTATGCCGATCGCATCGCCCTTGTTAACTGACGATCATGAAGTGCCGCATTGGGATAATGAAATTTCGTCGATAGCAGCGTTCGGCGAATTAACTCTTGTTCTTTTTTGCTCGCGGGCGTATTCGGGCTGCCGATAAGTAGGCAGATGTAGATAGACGTTGAGAGAGTAACGAGGGCACCGGTGTTTTGAGTGGAGGAACCAGCGGGGGCGGGAAGTGGCGAAGGTCACACACGAGAGGAGAATATCTCGCCAGAATTCGACCGTCTGGCGCGTTGCGATGGCTTTTTTCTATTTTTTTTTTTGTTTTTTGAGAGAAAAAAGTGGCAATTCGATTCGTCGCGGAAAGCGACGGTAACACTGAAACGTAAAACACGCAATTAGGTCACGACACGTTCGGTACGAGGCGCATCCGAGGGTACATTTCGCTTCGCCTCGTTGCACGACGAAGCGCGAGAACGCTCTGCCGACTCAATTCTGTTACATTCGCCTTTCTTCTACCTCCTCTTCTTCCTCTTTTCCCGCTTCTCGCGCAGCGAATCCTCGGATGCGTCGTACGTGACACACAAAGTTAGATCTCGCGACGAGGGTATTTTACATCGTCGTCATCATCGTCGTTGCCGTCGTCGTCGTCTTTCCCTTCGCCGTCGTCACTGTCTCTCGCGAGATGCGAATGAAGTTGCGGGAGAGAAGAAGCTCCGCGTCGCGATCGAGGGAGAAAGAGAGAAAGAGAGAGAGAGAGAGAGTAGTTCCTCCCGGCGGAGGAAAAACTAATTAAGTCCCAAGTGTAATTCCTGCCGTTATAATTTACGCGATGAAATCCGCGAGGGGAGCGTACGGCGAACGGAGTCGACGCGGGATCTTTTCTCCGGGAAAACGCGAGAAAACAAACGTAACGGCATCGAGTAGTCGTGCACGGTCGTCGTGGTAGCCAAGTATATTAGCATAATCGATAACCTTCTCTTTTTCTCGTTCTCTCTCTCTCCTTCTCTCTCGCTTTCGCTCGATTGCTCGCGTGCCGAATATCGGTTCATATTTTATATCTCGCTTCGACACTCGAAACGGCGTCCCGCGAATAGATTTACCGCGTTCTCCAGTTTGTAATATTTCACTCGGCTTCTCCGAGCGCGACCATTCTAGTCGTAGACTCTCTCCGCGGCGAGACGTGAACGAAATAAAAAAGAATATTTATCGCGCGTGTATATATACACATACGAGTACACATAGAAAAATACGCACTCAAATAAATGTTAGTCGTTCCCACAAGTTTGTATGTCTGCGAATCTATGATAAATTCATCACAAGTTTATCGTAAGCACTTACTCGAACTGTATTCTAAATTCTAGTAAGTTTAGCGCTTCAATCGAGAACATTAAATTCGATTAGCTTGCTATATGGAGTCGAATCAACTTTTTCTTCGCAAATTCTTGAAGTTTCGCAATATTCTTGCAGGGAGAATAAATTCCTCCGTTTAATATATAACAACCCTTTCTAAAAATTCGTGATACGCTGAAAGGAATTATCTGATAAAAAGTTAACAAACGAATACTTTCGATCAAATACCGATTAGTTTTTGTGTCCGATTAAATTTAATCGGATATTTCGTGATGGTATTTCATCGGGTAAATCGATGAAAATATTAAGAACCGACATTTCTCGTCGAATCCTTGCTGGTCGGATATTGATCGGAAATATCCGTTTGTCAATTTTTCATCGGATAATTTCTCGCAGAGTGAATATATATTTTAAGATTATTGTGAAGAAAATAATTCTTTGTTGAAGATAACCACTACTTCAAAGAAAAGAAGTTAACTCTGAGTAGTCGTTTTTCTTGGCAGAGTGGAATGAAATTTCTCTATGTGTGTGTGTGTGTGTACACGCTCGACAGGAACATCGGAGAAACAGTTTATGGGAAGCGCCGCGTGTCGGTGAACGCTCGCGCAATTTATACCACGAGAGATATAATTCATAGCGTTCGGCAAGTTCGGCGGCCAAAAGTGCACACGCCGCGCGTGCCTACACCGCGATAATTAATTCCGGCTGTGTTTCGCCGGCGCGCAAACGCGGAATACGATCACAAAGCGTTACGCGTTAAAATTCTAAAACAGCCGCGCGCGCCACGGGGGACGGCCCGGGGGCTAGTTGAGCGAATTAATTAAATTCAACCGACCACGTAATCTCACCGCGATGATCGCGAGGTCATTCCCGTGGCGTACTGTCGAGGAGAACGCGCTAGGGTCACGCTTAATGTCGAACGACTTCTCGACGATCATGAGGAAAGAACGGCGACTATTGCTGCTGCTGCTGCTGCTGCTGCTGCTACGACGACAACGACGACGACGACGGCGACGAGGACGACGTCGATAACGGTGACGACAACAACGAGAACATTTCGTCGGATCGGTAATTATTTCCGACGAATGTATGCGGACGGTCCAGGCAATGTACATATATGTATGTGTGTACACAGTGTACTTATACATATGTATATACGCGGAGAGACAATGGCGGAATGGTGTTAATGGGCAAACGGCTACCTACCAGCTCGGAAACCAGCGGTATCGACTTCCGTCGCGGTCGAATGTCCGGCATGCTGTCGATGGTGCTGTAGAAAGGATTGTCACCCGGGTGTCTGTAACAGAAGATTTCGGAAGTTACGTCAGCGCGTGTCTCTGTAAACACGATCCTGTCGATCCGTCGTTGCAGGCGATTCGCTCGCTCGCGCACCAATTCTGGACTCTCCTCTCCCTTACCTCCTCACATCCGTTGCGAGATATCACACGTGCGATTACGTTCCCAAAGGTATGCGATTCTCGGCCGGGATGTGGTATCACGCGTCTGCAGAGTAATACTCCGCGATCAAGCGGGAGCTTGAAGAGAACGCCCTGCTATCCGAAAGAATCACGGGCGCCGATAAAGGGAGCGCGCGGAGAGTAGCGTCTCTCCGGCGCTCGATACCCTCGTAAGTGGGAAAATGAAGTGAACTTTCATATCAAATCTGTGGCCACGAACTTAGCCACGGTTCTAAGGGAGATTTCTCCGTGCGCTCGCGCGATTCGCAAAGCGCTTCTGAAAATCCGTGTACGGTACGCAATGGAAATTCGCGCTTGTTAGGAAGTTTTCGGGAGAATCCAAGTTCAAGTCGAGTCGGCGAATCTATGCCTGGTCGATTCGCACGCGGATATAAAATTACATTCGGTCCTCCTCAGCGCCGGGGAACGCTCCGACGAATTCGATACGTGACGCGGCGACGTATCGAACTGAGGTAAGGCCTGTGTAAAATTGCAGGGAATATTTGTTTCCTGTTACGTAAACGCTCCTCTCGGAAATAATTCATCGAGCACATCGCTCGATTTGTCGAGCGGGTCATGATGATACGTAGCGGAAACTACGATTCGGCGAAGGAAATATGCCGAGCGGCTGGACTTTCTCAAGATCTAACGAGAAAACGTTTGAAAGAGAACGTGGAGTCTAGATGCTCCGTATCTCAGAATTTCGAAGGTCCAGACTACATCTCAGACCCAACTAATTGTCGTGACTGTACAAACATGATACAGGCAGCTTCCCACACAACACGTCTAAAATCAGGACAAGACGTCTAAAAGATGTCTTACACTCTTATCTTTTAAAGACGTCTTATACTCCGATGTCTTTAAAACGTCTTTTAGACGTCTTATGTTCCTATTTTAAGCGTTGTGTGGGCTTCTTCTATGCTTTTATTCTTATGATTAAGATAATCGTCAGATTCAACGATGTATAATGAAATGACTTCTCGAGATCACATTTTTTAGATAGAAGTTATATACGACGTGCTATAAATAACGCGCACAAGCACGCAAAGGCGACAAGGGCGCTTGTCCTTTATTTCGTCTGTCCACATGCTAGACTATAACTACTTACAGCGCGTGTCTACATCTCATCGCAAAAGTGCGCTTTCAAATAGTAATTTGATTATTTATAGTTGAATTTGGCGTGAAATTTTCTTCACAATTTTCATTTTTATAAAAATTTTAAAGTTCTTAAAAATAATGAAAAACACAATGGTATAAAGAAAATGAAATTTTCTGAGAATTAAATGCACAGAATCATAAAATACAATAGATATCTTGAAACTTTTTTTGTAAAACACTTTCTCATGTGTCTTTCTCTCATGGCTCCGGAAATGATTTGTTTATAATTAAAGATTAGTTTCAAAGAATCGTTTCAGTCTCTAGACGTGCAAGAAAGTACACACAAGAAAGACACGTATCTGTTATTTTTAGCCGCTCTGCAATATATTCGAAGCGCATAAAAATTGATGAGGTATACTCCCAGAAACGTCTCCTTGTAAGAGCTTCCATTCACGCGGTTTCGTAGGATGTCGCAGGGAGACGACAGATTGTGAAGTTCGTCGAATCGCTCGCACGACTCAAAATGGAAATTTATCGGAGGAGCATCTACGTAATGAACGACGAAAGATCGAGCGAAATTTTATCGTAGATTTCAGCCCGTCTCTCACTTGACACCTTGGAAAAATGATCGGGCTATCTCGAATCGTCCCTACCAACCGCAGATATTTCTCCTGCCGCCGCGTAATTTATTTTCTCGCGCGCCTAATATATGATGCAAGAAAAAAAGAAAAAAATATCACGATATATCTTCCGATATATTACAAAATATTCTCACACATTGAATACTATTCAGACGTCAATAGCTCGAAAAGGGCTGGTTTTGGAAAGGCTGCGTCACAATATGAATACAATATTTGTCACGAGTAGCCCCGGGGAGAAAGGAAGAGGAACACAAAGCCCGATAAAATGTTCAATTGAAGCACAGCAGAGTACTCACCCGTTCGCCCGTCCACCAGATTCGCCGACAGGTACGTTGCCGTTCTAACAAACAAAAAAACAAGTTTATTAAAAACAAGCTCAGTAACAGTTCGAAAAACGAAATGGAGAGCGCGCGATGCCGATCGCGCGAACGATCTGGATGGGTGGAGGGTTCTCGGGGGCGCAGGGGGAAATTGTTCCTCGCGCAGTCTTGGATGAAGAGCGCGGCGGCCATGGAAAGAGAATGGCTCGCGACTTGTAACGTTACGTTACGTTACGTTACGTTACGTTATGTTACAGGGAGAGATCCTCCGGGCAGGAGTCCGTAGGAGTTTCTCTGCCGTAACGCCGGATATTCTAATAACCAGTCGGCGATGAATATTGCGAGATTGCGCTGAATTTCTCGCTCTAATTTCCATGGCCGCGCGCCCACACGCACGCACAATGCTCTGCCTTGTGAATCGCTCTACCATCATAAACCTAGATACTCGGGAGAGCGGCCTCGAGGGAGAATTACGAACGCGCCAGGACGAGAAGGATGCGTCGGAGGAAACCGCCGAAGGTCCGGGGAGAAAGAGCCCGTCGTCGACGTCGTTCTTCCTGCGCCGACCGGTGGGATAGAAAAAGGGAAGAGAAAGCTATCATTCGCACGGTTTTTTCAAAGGAAGCAACCTTTTTGCGCTATCTCTCTGTGGTCTTTCTCTCTCTCTCTCTCTCTCTCTCGCCGGAGAATTCCGTATCCTGTATCCTCTTCATCTTCCCTTTTTCCTAGCCGGTTGGTTTAGATTACGACCTCCTTTTTCATGACTCGATTGGTTTCTCTCCCTTCGCATCACCAGCTGCAGTTTCCTCACCGCCTCGAGTCTATTGTTCCATCGGCCGCATCATCACACGATCTAAGCGTACTTTCTTTCTCGTTCTTTCTCTCGCTCATTCATTCACTCATTCATTCTCTCTTTTTCTTCCTTCCATTCTGCCGACTCGACTACAGGCCGACACTTTAATCCTTTTCTCGTCGGTCGGACAGGTCGAACCCATTCTCGTCTCGCTTGTCGCCATTAATCAACCTTCGGCTCGGCTCGCCGGTGACCTCGAAGAAGCACGGGCATTTTGTCGTCTGTCAGGCTGTCGGATTCATGGCCCGATCGTTCGTTCGTTCGCTCGAGTCCACACTCGGCTCGTGATAAATTCCGTCGGTGTAGCACCCTCTGGTGCCATCGCAAGCTCGGGGGGTCTCGACCTTCCGGGGTGGTTCTTTTCGCATCAGGCTCTTCTCGGCCTACGCGGCCCCCCAGCGCGCCGATTTTTCTCAATAAATTCCCGCCACGTCGGCTCTACAGTCCTGGAACACGAAAATCTCAGGGACTAATCGATACTTCCGGCCGGCGAGAAAGGGATGTATCCGCGGCGGTCGTGTCAGACGCTGTACTCGCGCTTCCTCCACGTCTCCTCGAGTCGCCTCCTGCTCTTCTTCTTCCTCTTTCTTTGCTTCTTCACTTCTTCCTCTTCCGCCTCTCTTTGTCACCTTCTCCTGCGCCCGTTCGCGTGCTGCACGTCGTTCGCTCGGTCGCGCGGTGAAAAATGGAAGTTTCGGAGAGATAGTGTGTAACAGCCCGTATAAATATAATATCACGTACAATACTCGTAAATTCTGTCACGATAGAGATACGTTATAAACTTATCGATAGCATAACAAGTGTAATAAATATTTAGAGTTAGAGAGCCGCAGGTATATTCGTCCCTTAACGCTGTCTCTCGCTCGCGCATCCCTCCGCACTCTGTCACGCTGCAATTTCACTCCCCCGCATTCGCTCGAGTCGCAGTCTCTCCCTCTCTTTCTTTCTCTCCCTCTGTCTTTCATCAGCATGCACTCTCTCTTCTCTTGCATCCTCTCTCTCTCTCTCTCTCTCTATCTCTCCCGCTCTCTCTCTCCCGCTCAATCGCTCGTTGTCTCTTTCTCTCTCTCTCTTTCTCTCTCTTAAACAGTCTCGCGGAAAGGGGTTTCTCTGTTCGCTTAAAAAGCTTAGACAACACTGGAGCACGACGAGTTTCGTTTCGTTTTCACGTTTAGCCACGAAGTGGTGGCCTTCGAGAGCGTCTCGTTGGCGCGCGCACAAATCCATTGCTCGATCGCCATTTTTCTTCGGCGACGTACTGCTCGCGTGTGATCTCACGCGTTCACGAGGGGCCATTAAACGAGGACGTATCGTTCAATCGACAGTGGGAATCATCTGTCCGGTCGGGATGAAATGAAACGATTTGGAAACGCCGCGTCGCCAGTTAAAATTGTGTATAAGTCGTTGCAAAAGCAGGCAAAAGTACGTTTGTAAAAATCGCGTAAAATCGCGTATAAAAGCGGTGGTCGAATCTTTCCTCTCTTTCTTTCTCTCTCGCGCGCGACCTTTATCGCGTTCCCATCGTGCGGGAACAGATTTCATCACCGGCCCGTGAATTCGTGCCGCGTATGGCGCAGTGATGTTTTGTGCCGCGCGGCGCAGCTCGGAGAACGATACCTGGATTAATTATTCATAATATAGAGATGGCGAGTTTCGCACGGGTGACAGCCATATTAGCAGAATCCGCCCGCTAAAATCGCAAATAGCCCTCCCGCCCCAGCCGCGCCCGCGGTGAACGTCGACGCGACACTTCCGATTTGCGCCGCGTCAATTTTTCGTCGAAATCTCGCCGCGTTATGGGTCGACCGGTGCCCGCCGTGTATCATGTACACTCGGGAGATCGATAGATGACATTGAGCGCGCGCATAACTGTTTGTTCGCGTTTCACGAGACGCGCTCGAAGGCGAGGAAGTATACATATATATACGTACAACTCAATAGTATATATATCTACATGAAATATAGTATCGCTTCGCGAATATAATTCTGATAAGCGTTCGCTTAACAACCAAAACGTGTACCGCGTGTACGTGTGTCTGTGTGTGAACGTACATGCGCGTACGTGTGTACGTAGGTACCCCTGTGTGTCGCTTATTAGTCTCTAACGAATTTCACCGTTATCTATATTAGGCCTTAACAACATAGTTTCCCTTTAATTCGCTTAGACACTAGTCGTCAATTGACGGCGCTATTCGCTAGGTAGGTAGAGAAGCCTTAAGAAATCTTCGCTGTACTACATCGATCGACGGCGGCGAGCTCACGTGCTCGCTCGTGCCGCCCCTTCGTTAATGATATGAGTGACATTCAATGAAACGATACCGATGATATGCAGGTGCGACTTAAGAAGCGGCCGCTCGTCGAGACTTTGCGCCCCGGTACGTTCTCATCGCGGGATCATCGCGAATTATTCGATGAATTTCATTTTCGGCAAAAGAGGCAAAAAAGTGCCAATATTTGAGCACTAATATATATAACACTGCTATACCTAACTCTGGACATTCTTATTATTCTGGTCTTTAAATACGTATATTTACACTTTCAATTTAGAACACATATATACATATATTCTACATTAAGGGTTTAAATATTTGTATGTAAAAACCAAAACAATAACACTCAAAAAAATGTTTTGCAGGTAGAATTCTAAATGTTACAGTTAAAATTCATCGTTGCTTTTTGCATCTGCTAGAAAATTGTCTGTGGTACGTAGAATTTATAGCAGCAACGTTCTGGTCTAGCAATGTGTGCAAGCAAATTTAGATGCGTGTGAGGATTACACATTCGTTTGTTTCTCGCTAGTCTTTTTATTTTTCTACCACATAGTCACTTTTACAGAAAATATAACTGACTTTAATCAGAATGCACGCTAAACAGAGAGATTTTTTTAAACAATGTTACAAATAGTTCAGACAGAAACCGCGTCTCTGTCATCTATATTAGTTAAGTACAAAACATATACGATATCGCAATGTTTGCTAGCCATTTATTCATCTCAGGTAATTTCTCGTATCTAGATAATTGTCCCTGTAACTGCATTTTCTTCAGTTAAGAATATCTGGAGTTAGGTGCCAGTGTTATTAGTTACCAGGTATTGGTAAACTTTACCTTACTCACCGGTCAGTAGTGTCGGATCACCCGATAACCGACTTATTCCCACCCCAGTGGTTGCCTAAGCCGGCACAGCCTAAGTCGTGGGACTGACGGCGGGAGAATTGACGCGAAACTTCGCCATCGTCTCGTCTCGACGAGAGGACGCTCACGATAAAGCTCTTTGCTGTGTGCCCTGTTTCCCGGTTTACCTGCGGCCAACGAATGACACGCTCACCTCGCGGAAACATTGATGAGAGACGTGGCCTTTCCCTCGTTTACTGCGAAATTACGTCTCTTTCTTTCTCGCGGTTACGTCTCACGATCGATTAACTGCGAACGACTGTCAAATATTGGTACACGTCTCCTAATGGACGTCGCGGTAATTCGGTCCCTCGCATTGCCCCTCCTCCCCTCCTTTTCCTTCCTCCTCCGGAGGCTCCTGCGCGTTTTACTCACCATAATTAAAAACTCATTGCGAAAACAGGATATCCCCGAGAAGGTGGAAGAACTATATTTGGCGCGTGTGATATGTAAATGCGACTCGCGCGATACGCGAACGCCGCGATTCACCGGCGATGATAAGACGTCGGATTTCGGTGGTCTCTCGGTGACTCGGGGATTTTATGAAAGTCACGAGCGAAACGCGCGGCGAACGATCTGTCAGCCCCTATCGCGGGCTAATTTATGTCCCCGTGTTGTGATCGCGAGCGGGCAAACAGCGCGCGCGATGTGTCACGAGACGAATAGCCGTTGATAATTCCTTCAATAAATCCTTTTCTTCTTAATAATGGCGCTCTCCCTCGGACGACTCGCGGATTCAAAGGCGCGTTGCGCAAATACCCAAGTAGAGAAATGTCCACATCTGACCATTAGCGAGAAACTAGCCAGATTTTCCTGGCTAGAACTTAATTAAGCAATAACTATTCAGGAGCTGGACAAAAAAAGCCGGCCAGTATTTCTTGGCCAGTTACTGGCCAGAAACTAGACCATAAAAAATGGTTAGTAAATGCTGGGCAGTTGTTCTGTCTAGTAAAAACTCGGAAAACTGGTCATAATGTTTCTCAACCAGTTACTGGT